AATCGGACCAAACAATGTCAAGATTTGTAACTAGTTCGGACAAGTTGCTGATCAAGAGGCTGTAGATTGTAGAAAGGCTAGGTCTTCGAACGTGGATAGAGATAACGGAGGAAGTGAGAAGTAAAAGAGTGGAGGAAAAAAACCAATCAAAATGTGGGTTAATTAATGAAAAAAGGGAGGGAGACCAAAATAGTGCGGCACACGCGGTAAAAAAAAAATTTCGCCACGGTGTCCTGGCCACGGATTCCAATTGTGGCAGAGTAATTTTTTTAACAGGATTAGCCACGGTTTTGTTAACCGTAGTTAAAAAACCATGGCTAATCAACGGTTTTTTTGTAGTGTGTGAGTTGGATGATATGACACATTTCTATTAATTTGTATTTTAGTGTCCCAAACAGAGGGTTTCTGAATGAGTTTCAATTTAATGTTTAAGAAGTTGACCTTTGCTAGCTTCAATAATTTTAGTTTTCACAAACAAGAAAAAATTGTACACATATAACTAATAAAAGGAGAGTAGGAAGAATAGTAAAAGTGATAGGATTAACTTTCTAATCCCAAATTATCCTAGTTGTTATTAAACATGGAATGAGAGGAAAAGGTTTTTCTATCCCCCTTACTCCCTTTATTGAATTTGAACATGGCTTAGCAATGTTCTACGATCTAATCCAAAGAATGCCTAACTAATTATATAGCTACTTTGCCAGCACTGTAATCTATTGTTGTGACCCAATTATATTAATTAATTTGGGTTTAGGGGCCTAAGAGTATTAATTAAAGTTATGGGGTCAAATGGTAATTTTGGATGGTTTAATTGTATAAATTTAAAATCTAGGGGACTGATTTGAGAAAATAGAAAAGACCAAGACCCAATTGGAATTATTAAGGGTCAGATTAAAGAAATTGAAAGTTTCTGGGACTCAATTGAAAATTAGGAGGGTGAAATTGAAAGAAACAAAAGATTGAGGGACTGGATCTAAATCTAGATCTAATAGTTCGGTCCAACAGTGGATCAAATAGTAGATCAATCATACTGTGATGATTATGGCCGATCTTCGCTTAAAAATTGGTTTTTCTCATGTGAGACGAGTTGCTCTACCATTGCCCTTAAATTATTTTAAAGTTAGAGAGAGGATTTGAGAGCATCTGAAGTTTTGTTGGACGACTAGATCTTGGACAGCTGAACGGAGGATTCGGTGGTTTTTCCAAGCTCTTGGACAAATTTCAATCTGATTAAAAGCCTTGGGGAGGCTCACCTAGTTCGGATTTGCAGTTCTAGAGTTTTGATTCAGTCCATGTGAGCAACTCAATCCATTTCCTTTTAGTTTTGTGTTTTGTGTTGAGTTATAGACCCAGATGTGGAATCGGGTGAAGAAGACAGACCCGGATGCAATTGGGTCCATGCTGGGTTGACCTACCAAGTCAACTCGACTCACCGAGTCGACTCAGAGGGGCCAGGTGAGATTCGAGCTTGGGTTGGGTTGGGCCTGGGCCGGGTTGGTTAAGTGGGCTCAGCCTTGGGTTGGGCGGGGTCAGACGTGGCTACCCCAAGTGGGATAGGTTGGGCTGGCTTAGTAAGGCTGGGCTGAGTCAAGTAGTGAGTTGGGCTTAGGTCGCAGGTTGGGTTGACCTAAGCCGAGTAGTTGGGCTGGGTTTGGGTGAGTCAACTCGGTGAGTTGACTCAGCCTAATTTGACCGAATCAATGGGTTGATTCAACGAGTCAACCCATTCAGTTGAAATTAGAATAGATTATCCCAGGGGATAAGGTAGAATAGGGATAGTGGCCATGTTGGAATAGCATAACCAGGGCAAGGATAGGCTATCTGTGGAAAATTAGGGTTTTGGGTTGATTGAACCAGCGAGTGCTGGTTCAAGGTTTAACTAGCCAGTTCAGTGGTCAAGTCAACTTGGATTTTTGAAGTTGGACTGGTTCTAGGTCCGAGTGGATAAGATCTATTGGATCAAGTTGGTCCATTGGTTGGAGGAGGTCCAACTCAATTGGAAATTGAGTGTTTTTTTACTAAACTAGCCTGGTTCAAGTAGGTTCAGCGGTTCTTGAGGCCGGTTCAATCTTGTTTTGGGCAATTCTTGACCAGTTCAAATTAGTTTCTAGGGTTTTCGGATCTTCTAAATCTGATTTTGAGAGTTTCATGGCTAATTTAGTTTAGTTTAAGATAGTTTCATGCCAGTTTAGGCCGGTTCTAAAGTTTTGAAGGCTGGTTCACTACAGTTCAAGGGCTTTTAAGGGATGTGGATGTGTGTACTTGAGTCATATGGGCTTAGAGTGTTAATAGTGAGTCTCAAAATGCGTGTTAGGATTTTGGAGTGGGATTCGAGCCTAATTTTTTAGCTACCGAGCTATTTTCTTGTGCCAGTTTTGGTGTCGGATATTATTTTGTGTAGTTTTGGTTACAGATACACCGGCAAAGGTGCATCCGAACTAGTGAGTCGAGTGAAGGTGACTCGGGACTTTTTTCTTAGCATGACTTCAGTACAATAAGTGATGATACCCTTCTTATGTATGTGTTTTTCATATTGTGTTTTCTGACATGATGATTATATAGTTTCGTAAACTGTATTTTAGTTATATGTTACATCTAGGATATGTGTTATGTGATTTGTGAACTGTCAAGGAGTTATGTTAATATGATAATACTAGTTTTTGAGATTTGGACTGTATATACGTATGTATACCTATTTTGACTCATATGTGATGATGGTATCATGTGTTGTGATTTAAGGGACGTTAGAAACTCAGCTTGAGTACAGTGATCTATAGCGTTCAATGTTGAGTAGGCCGGAGTCTCGTATGAGGTGGCAAGGGCCACAGGCAATAGGGGCCACGAACATGTTGCGCACTGTCATAATGAGTTTTGGATGCCAATGGCTTAGCCAGTAGGGAGTGCTCTAGGTTTGGTGATGTGATACAATGTGATGTGTTTGGGATGCCAAGAGCTCAATCGATGGACAGTGGGCTGTAGCGTTTGGGGGGTGCTCTAAGCCTAATGAGATAATATGATGACTAGTTTTGATAATACCCTCACATACTTGTTTGATGTGTTATTACTCACTATATATATGTATGTATATGTATAGTTTCAGACTTGAGATGTGATACATATCCCAACGTGCATAGCTTAGGTATCATCTATATTCATTAAGTTTCATGACTCACATTTTATTATTCCAGATTTGGGTTGCTATCATCGTCTTGAGTAGCGCGCTGAGTCAGAGCAACTGTCTGCAGATTTGATTGATATATGAGCATCCTTTTTTGTATATCTATTGTTTTGTACTCTAGAGTAGCTTTTTTTGTACTCTCAGATAGGTCCTGATAGTTATGTGCTGGATGTTGTGTGTTAATTTACATTTATTTGATGAGATGAATATATTGGTATGGTTTGATATAGGGAGGCTTATTAGGGTCGATAGATTCTAGTGCTGGTCACGAGCCTAGGGCCGGGTTGTGACATTTATGTTCAAAGTGACTTTTACTATTTGATAATTTAGAAATAGTAATGAAGTAGTGGATTAACATTAGGGTAAATATTGTACCAAATAACAATTCAACTAAACAAAAAGAATTTAATGCCAAAAACTTGACACCGCCTTTAGTAGAGGGTCCAAATATCCAAACAATCAATGATGATCATGTTCTCTCTACTCTCTAATTTATAAATTCTAATAAGACAATTTCTAACAAATATGAAAATAAAGCCAAATTATAAATTCATCTCTAATATCTAAAAATAATCTCTAACTAATAGTTCTCTATTTCTATCAATTAAATTGTAGTGAGATGGAATAAGTAAATTATATTAAAAAAATAAACTAGGACAAAGGTGAGATGTGAGGAATAAGTAGTGAGAGAATATAAGATTTAGACAGACATAATATAATAAGGTGTGAGACTAAGAATTAGTATTTTCATGCCACTAATAAATCATGTACCCAAACCTTTCATTGAAAAATTTCTTCTGGTATAGTTTGATGATATGTTAATTTATAGCAAGGTCGAAGGCCAACATTTAAAGCACTTGCGCCAAGTCTTACAAGTTTTGCTGGTGAATAAGTTATTCATTAATCTTGCAAAATGTAACTTTGTAGATTTTTGAGTGAATTCTCTATATTATTCAATAAATTCTGAGTGTTCTTAGTGAATTTTAAATTATCTTAACATATAACTTGATCGAATTTTTTTCAATGCTTCCATTGCGTCCATGCTTCTCTTCATGGATCTAAATTGTTACACATGCAAAGATGTAAAAAGAAACTAAAAAAATGGAACTTGGGGATCCCTTTTCTTAAAATAAAACAACATTTGTTCCAAGAGAAATTGTCTTCACAAATTTCATGTTTTAGCCATTTAGATGCTAAAACCTCTCAATTGTCTTCCTTAATAAAAACACTGGAAAACTTATTTCAGAATTAACTTTGTAACAAATTTGCGGATTAAGTGAAACATGGGGATTTGGTGCCCCGGGAAATGGTCCATATACAAAATATGATTTATTTAATTTTTCTTTTAACCTTTTAAGAAGTTAGAGGTCTAACCCCTAGGGTCATAGATTAAACCCTTGACTTTTGGATTAATTGCAAAACTATATTTATCATTTGGATTAAGTCTTAAAATTCAAAAAAAAAAAAAAAGAAGTATTTTGATACACCCTTGTCTACGGTGATGGATTAGTAGTAGTTACCAGTCACCCACTGATTTCCATCTTAGCATTGCACCTCATCTACTTAATTAGGACATTGATCATTTGCTGATTAGTGCGTCAAATTCTTCTGTAATAGAAGAAAGATAGTTAAACTACTACAGTCACTTTTAACAAGTGGAGGCTGGAGAAAGACTTCTTGGTAATGTGAGACATTGATCAATCACCAAACAAAGAGCAATGAAATTTTATTTTTTTTTTCTTTTGAGGATAGCAGAGAGACAATTAAATCGTTACAATCAGTTCCAGAAAGTGAAGATAAGGGAGACTTATCCTTTAACATATTAGTGCTTCAGATTCTCTTGGGCATTTTTTGATTTATCAGACAAAAGGGGCTCCTCCAAATCAACATTGCAAGTCCTCTTGAGAGATTCATCTACGATGACTTTTACAGCTTGTGCTTCTTCAACTTGTCGTTTCAGATTGGTCTCCAATTTGAGTCCTTGAAGGTCCTCGGCTTTTCCCCACAGCACCACATAAAGTCCAGCAATCACCCCAACTGCACTTATCAGGCTGCATTATGGATCAAAAAAGAAGCTTTTCTTTAGACTGAAAAGCTGGCTTTGGAAATCGTTAAGGCTTATTCATGAAAAATCTCATTATCCTACCTTCCTATATAGACCTCTTCGTGTAGAAATATTGCAGCAAAGATGGTCACCGTGACCGTGGATAGAGGGCTGAACATGGCACAGAAGAGAGGTCCTCTTTGCGAAATACACCATGCTTGAACGAAAAATGCAGCAGCTGATCCTACAAGTCCCTGTCGTTAATGCCAATTAATAAACCCACTTCAGTGATTTTGATATTTCAAGAATATATTTCAGTTTTTCTTGGACTGGTTTAATAGCTTTGTTCTATTTCTATCTTCACAATATTGATCTAGTTTGAAACTTACTGCATAGAAACAACAAGCAAGTTCAAGGTACGAATGCAACTTCCAAGCTGCTTGGTCTGGCTCCAAGAAGAGGGCAACGATTCCTGATTGTAACGTCGCCATGAAACACGTCCAAGCCGATAGGGATAGGTGGTCCGGATGGCTTACAGAAACGGGGACCTGTCACACACGAATTCCTAAGAAGTATATAAAGATGAACAGGGCCGTAAATGGGCTACAGTTGGGCCTAATTAGTGGGCGTAAACACCCAATTAATGGGACAAATACCCCATGCGCCTTTTTAAACCCTAACCCGCCAGTATAGATCCGGATCTCACCCAACCGTACCAATTAAGTGGCTAGTAGGATAGAATCTTAAATATGGAATGGAATGGAATGGAAATAGGAATAAGAATCTTAAAAAATTGTATTTGGTACCTATTTTGGAATGGTAATTCTCATTCTCTAAAAAATGCAGATTCCATCAAATGAGAGAATTTAAATTTCATCACTTGGGTGATGGAATCTGGATTCTATCATGTGGTGTAATCCTATCTTAATGTATAATCACTATTACACTATTTATTTTTTAAGTAAATGACAAAAATATGTTATAAATATAAAAAATTATAAGTATTTATAATATTATTTATTAATATATTATATATTACATATATTTATTATTATATTATAAATTGTATAATATGATCCATTATGTATTATATAATTTATTATATTTATATAATATAATATATACATATATAACTTATTAATATAATACGTTAATAATCTAAGACATAAAAAAAAATTTAAAAATGAAGAATTAAATTATTAAAAAAAAACTAAACATCATTTTATAAAGTTTCAATAACTATATATATATATTATAATATTATATTATTAAATTATTTATTTTGAAATTTTATATTTAAGGATAGAATATAAATTTTTAAATTTTTAAATTTTTATTATATTTATAATATATTAAAAACAAAAGTTATTTAACTGTTTCTAACAAAATGTATTTTTATCTCTCAATATTCTTTTTATTTCCTTTCCTACTTCCATTCTGAGATACTAAACACAATGATGAAATGAGAATTTTCATTTCATAAATGCATACCAAACATACTCATGAGAATCTTAATTGCATTCATTCTCATTCCCATTCCCATTCTCATTCTTAGTCATTTCTTATATATATATATATATATATATATATATTGCAAACAAGCAGCATCTGAAAATGAATAAAACTTTTCTTTTCTTAGAAATGGGTTATGTGAATATTTTTTTTTCTTTTCTTTGTCTAATAATTGATGCGTATTTTCTATTTAAAAAATAAATAATTAATTGAGGCCTGTTTGGATACGAGATTACCTGAAAAATTATCCAAAAAGACCAGCAACAGCAACTTCCGAAGAGGAGGAATGAGCCAAGAAGCCAATTTTCACTACCGGAGCTGAGAAGAGATTTTATTGGTAGTAATTCCGAGTTAAGAAGCTTTGGGCCTCTCAGAAGTGTCATGGAAACAGCTCCAACCACACAGATGACAGTTCCTACGATCTTGGCAACACTTCTCAAACTTCTGAAGTTTATTTTTTCCAATCTGACCAATCATTACATTTTATAAAACCCATTAAAGTTAAAATTTACAACTTTCTAAGAAATTAATAAATGGATCCTACATTGGAGTAGATGTAAGTTACCCAAGAATGGATGCAATGACAAATGTTATGGCCGGGACTAGATTAGACATTGCACTTGCCATGGAAGATGAAGCTAAGTATATGCCTTCAAAATATATGTTCTGGTTGATCGTTACCCTGCCAAAAAATAAATAAATAAATAAAATTCAAACACAAACCTTGACCATTTCTTCAAGGTAACTTGAAGGTAACTTTGTTTCATAATTAAGCTTACCCCACAAGGGAAGCCAAAAATATCAGACAGAAGCTTCTTGATCCCAAGGATGATCTGTCTTTCCTGCAACAACGCTTAAATGACACAAAATTACAAAGAAATAGAACCTGGATAGTAAAGGTTGTAGTAAAATCTTATCTCTTCTGAGTTCTATATATATGAGTTCTACATATATGTGCATATATATGCAACTATTCTGCTCCGATTTGTTTCCCGAAGCAGTTTTTTGTTTTGAAAACCTTCGGGAAGTTGTTTCCAAGAAGTACATTCCCGAGATTTTACGAAAAAAACTTTTGTCTTTTTTTTCAAAAATTAATAAAAAGTTGTTTTCAGGACTGAAAAGATTCATAAAACAATAGAATTCTCAACATTTTCACTATTTTATGTTTTCAAAAGTACAGGAAATGAATGGAACCAAAAAAAAAAAAAAAAAAGGAAAGAAAAAACACAGGAAATGAAAACCGAAGATAGAAAACAAAAGGCATAATATAAATCCAAACAGATCATATATCTTCTGTTTTCAGTTTCCATGTTTTTTGATTTTGCAAGACAGAATTAAAAAAACCCTGAAAATATTAGGGAACTCTATTCTTTTCATATTGCTTTCATTTTGGAGTGGAAATAGTTATTTTATTTTTTTTAAAAATAAAATCTTATTGATTTTGGAAAAAGTATATGTTATCTGAAAAGTCAACCGGGAATATTTTCCAAATGGGTTTCGTGTTTTCAGAAACAGAAAAACTGATTTCGTACAACAAATCCTAACATGTCTTACATTAGGCTTTTCTTGACTGGTACCCACCTCGCGAAATAAGCTATAGGAGCCATGACCAGGGTGGCTATGCAATGCCTGTAGAACACAAAGACTCTGGGGCTCATGCCTTGAAGGAGAGCAGCTCTGGTGGAGATGGCAAGCCCTGCATAAGCGAACTGCATTGCAACCATAGCCACTACAGGCTTGTAGTAGTCATGAAAGCCATCCATCCTCGGTTGCCCAGAACAAAACAATAACAAAGTAACTTATGATTAAGCACCATATATAATGCTAGCTTCCAAACTCGTGCACATGCACATTTCACGTGCTTCTCTACTTCCATGCTCCTTCTAACCCATCTTGATCTGTTTGTTGAGCTGTATAAAATAAAATGCATAACAGCAGTCACGAGTTGTCTTACTAGTAATTTACAATGGTCGGAACAGAAATGAGAATAGGATGGACTATATTATAGGTTTAATTCTGATAAGGATAATTCAAAAGCAATTTAATTTTAATAATAATCTTTGTAAATACATTTAATATGACCCAAAAAAAAAAGGAAGTTTTGAATGGATTTTGGTCTGTAAATACACTATTTCGGAACATTAAAATGTTAGTAATGCGATGAATAATGTTAGTAAAATTGCAGATGGACAAAGTCAGATAAGCCCGTTGATAATTACTCATAAAGATTGGTGTTGGATTATGTTCTTCCACAAAAACCGGGTCGTCAAGGACAAACCAGCTAAGCAAAAGCTAATTTATGATGTTATGTCTGTGTGTATTTTTATTTTATTGTAATATAGAAGTCAGGTCTGTTTGTAATTTAGACTAATTAAGAGAGCATCTTCCCACGTTATCTCTCACACTCGACTGTGAGGGATCCTCATGGCGCCGCACCTCCCCTCATTTGTTTAAAGAAACAACATTAATTTTCAGGGTCCAAACAAGAGAGATGTTTGGCAATGATCGGAAATGAAAGGAATTTGAAGTCGCCGAGACTTTTTTGAAACAAATTAAGTTTTAAATTTTGATTTGATAATTCAAAAGGTTTAAATTATTTGAACAAAATCGACAGGGAGAAATGAATAATAAATCTCTAAAATATTTGGCAATTCACCTAGCAAAATTTAAAATATTTGTCTTTTTTTATAAAAAATATAAATCGTAAATCTATTAATATAATACATCAATTCAATCGTAAACATTATCTTTTCTGAGGAAATTAATTTGTATTAATTCTATCTTGGGGCCATCAAATTGGCTGGCGCTGATGGTTCGGTGAGTTGGACGGTAGATACGACATATTTCAAGATTCTGGTTAGCGCATCTCCACGTGGATTTAACTCCAAACACACGTCAAAGTTGTAATATTGTAGCGTCTAAGGTCGTATCAGACCAAGGTTCAAAGAACTTGGTTCCTTAGATTTAAAATAACTTTTTTTAAAAAATTATACGCTGTTTCCCTCTTTGTGTGCGTGCCTGCGTGCATGTGTGTCACGGTCCAAACCTTCGTCAGTTATCAGTATTAGGGTTCATCAATCCTAATCAATCTTACAACTACCTTATATGATCAAATCAAATATATCATATCAGTAATATCAGTCACAACAAACAAACTCACATCCTTAAATACAAACTAGAATTTCGTCTCAAAAAATAAATGAGCAATCTAGAGTACAAAATGATAACACAAAGAAGCATGCTTGTACATCAATCGAATCTCGAAGTTTAACTCGAATCACCACTAATTGGCATACGAACAGTCACCCCGATTTAGAAAGATAATAAAAGGGCGAGTCATAAAATTAGTGAGTATAAATGATACCTAATCTATACATGTTAGGATACACACCATATGTTAAAACCGTACATATACATATATAGTGAGTGGTAACACATCAAAACAAGTATGTAATAGTATCATCATAATCAATCATCTTATCACATCACCACCTAGGGCACTTCTCGGATGCTATGGCCCATCGTCCACCGGCTGAGCCCATGGCATCCCAAACTCATCACCGGACCTAGGGCACTTCCTGGATGCTACGGCCCACTGTCTGCTAGCTAAACCCCTAGCATCTCAATTATATCACACGATACAATCCTATATATGAGTTAAAAACAAATACAGATACATATATAGTTCATATATTGAAAACTTATGTCAACATATCAACATAGTTTACTGACTATTCACAAATTACATAACACATATCTCATATATAACATATATCAAAATACAGTTCACAAAAACATATAATTAGTCATGCCAGAAAGCCACAGTAGGAAAACGTATGTATAAAGAGAGTATCATCACTTACAATACAAAAGCCGAGCTAAAAGAAAGTCCCAAATCACCTTCACCTGACTCACCGGACCGGGTGCACCTCTGCCAGTGTATCTGTAACCACAATATCACAAAATCATAATCGACACTAAAACCGCCACAAGAAAAGGGCTTGATAGCCTAAAATTGGGCTCAAATCCTACTTCAAGACCTTATACTCATCTCGAGGCTCACTACTCATCACCCAAAACCCATATGACTTACTAACACTCATCAAAATCCCTTAAAACCCCTTGAACCATAGTGAACCAACCTCCAAAACCCTCAAACTGGCTTAAACTAGCCTAAAACTACCTTAACCCGAACTGAACAGGTTGTGAAAATCTCAAAATTGGATTGAACTAGTCTCAAAACCATAGGAACTGGTTTGCAACGATCAAGAACCGCCCAAAACAAGCTGAACTAGTCGCAAAAGCCCTTAAACCAGCTTGAACTAGGCTAGTTCAACCAAAAAATCAAATTTTCGATCGAATCAGACCTCCCCAAACCCCCGGACCAACTTGGTTCAAAAGTTCACATCCTCTTGAATCGGGAACTAGTTCAACCTTCAAAATCTAAGTTGGTTTAAGCATTGAATCGGTTGGCCAAACCTTGAACCAACAATAGTAGATCCAATCAGCAGACCTTTTTTTCGGCAAATTGTCAAAGCCTAATGGGCGGCAACTGGCTAGGCCCAAGCCATTTGGGCCCAGCCCATGCCAACCCTAAGGCTCGGCCCAGCCCAACTTGCATGGCCCTTTCCCTAGCCCGAGCCCAACTAGGATTGCGCTCACACCATCCCAGTCTAGCCCAGGCCCCAACTACCTGGGCCTAGGCCCTTCCCAGCCTGGCTGAGTCGACCCGATGAGTCAGGTCAACCCAGCTGGGTCAACCTTGCATGGACTCGGATACATCCGAGTCTGTCTCCTTCACCTGGTTGGCAACCCGATTGCTCAACCAAGTCTATAGAGAACCCAAAAGTAAGAAAACGCCCAAAATTTTAGTTTCAGAGCTTACCCGAGCCGATCAACACTCCAAGACAGCCAAACCAAACCAGGTGAACCAGCCCTCACACTTTAATCGGAAGAATCACTAATCAAACAAGCTCAAAACCAGAAAAATCCCTTTAAGCTCGCAGTAAGCTCTATCGACCAAGAAAACCAGAAATTCCTCTCACTCTCTCACTAGAATTCAAAATTAATTGAGGGGAAACAATTGTAAACACCAAATCCACTAATTTAAGCCATCAAAAGCTGGAAAAGTGGCTTTAATAATTGCAGTATGGTGTGAAAAGCTTCAATCCCCCTGTTAGACTAAAACTTTCTTCTCACTCAAGATCCAATCCATCAAACCTCCATTTTTTTCAATTTCACCCCTCAAATTTTCAATTGAGTTCTTACATCTTTCAATTTCTTCAATTTGGCCCCCAACAATTTCAATTTAGCCCAAAACTTTCAAATTTTTCACATTAGCCCCCGAAACTCAAAATTACTACAATTAAGCCCTCTGAAAATTTCAATACAACCCCTAAAACTTTTAATTCAAGCAATTAAGCCCCTAATGAATTTAATTAAATAATTTCCCTAATATATTTAAAATAGGGTCATTACAGTGTGTGTGCGTGTGTGTGAATATTTTGTAATCATATGTACTCTCTTTCAATGACAAATGGCAATACTTGGAAGCTTGAAAAGCGACCATTTACTTATATGTAATTACTTATGGATTAAGTCTTCATTATGCCCTAATTAACTAGTTTAATTTGTTCGCGTCAGTCCCTCTTTTTGATTTAGTGAAATGTGATCATTCAATATCCATTACAACCAAATTGAGCTGTCCCACTCATATCCTGTCTAGCTCCTTTCCACTCTTGCCCTATCATTGATCGTGTTGCCTTTGTTTCAACCCTTCATCATCATCATTACTATAGTTATAAACGGGTCAAATTCGGATCAAATTAAGATAATCCGAGTCCAAATCCGATTACACATGTGTATAATCAAATTCGACCTAAGATCCTGTAAGATTTTTATATATAACTACTATGTTCAAATTTGATAAAAATATGAAATTTGAGTAAAAAATTCTATCAGAATAACAGTTAACAATAATTAAAATTAAATACCCAATAAGTAAAAGACATGTAAAATCAAATAAATTGTTATTTATGAATAATCAAATTTTATATAATATTTATGTTTAAGTTTTTTGATTTTATAAAAATATAAACAAAATTCAAAAATAAATTGTTATTTATGAATGATTAAGAAAAACTTTTGTTATATAATATATTACAAGAAAAGAGCTCGATAGCCTAAAATCGGGCTCAAGTCCTGCTCCAAGACCTTACACACATCTCAAGGCTCACTACTCATCACCCAGCACCCATGTGACTAACCAACACTCATCAAAATCCTTTAAAACCCCTTGAACCGTAGTGAACCGACTGCCAAAACACTCGAATTGGCTTAAACTAGCCTAAAACTAGCTTAACCTGAATTGAACCGGCCATGAAAATTTCAAAATTGGATTGAACTAGCCTCAAAACTATAGGAACCAGTTCGAATCAGTCAAGAACCGCCCAAAACAAGCTGAACCGGCTGCAGGAGCCCTTAAACCAGCTTGAATTAGGCCGGTTCAACCAAAAACATCAAATTTTCGGTCGAATCATACCTCCCTAAGCCCCTAGACCAACTTCGTTCAAAAGTTCACATCCTCTGAAACCAGGAACTGGTTCAACCTTAAAAATCCGAGTTGGTTTGACCACTAAACCAGTCAATCAAACCTTGAACTAGCAATGGTTGGTCCAGTCAATAGACCTTTTCTTTTTTTTGGCCCATTGTCAAAGCCCAATGGGTGGCCAACTAGCTAGGCCCAAGCCATTTGGGCCTAGCC